ATTTTCAAAATAAAAAATAATCTTTGAAAATAAACAGAGGCCATCTTATATCCCTTAACTGGAAGTCACCCAAATGTCCATGAAGAGTAGAATGGGTGGGTAATTCGCGCCATATTAGCAGAGTGGAAAAGTACAGGGAAGGAGTTATCTTCTACAGCCCAAGACCGGAACGAATCTCACAAGCAAAATATTAAACAAAAGAAACCAGATATTTAAAAAAAAAAAAAAAAAGAAAACTCTAGGATTTCATTTATGTAGAATAAAACCAGGCAAAATTGACCTATGCTGTCAGAAGCCAAGATTGTATTTATACTGGGAGTAGACCTTGCCAATGACCCAGAGCGGGGACTCTGGGAACTAGTGTATCCTCTTGTTCTGGGTGCTGGTTCACAGATGTGTTCAGTTAGTGAGAATCCATTGATCTGTGCACTAATTGTACATGCACTTTTCTCTTAATATGTTGCATTTTAATAAAAAGTTCCTGAACTGAAATAATAATAGTTCCCACCTCACAGTATTATTTTGTAGTTTAAACTAAAACCCATTAGAATGTAAACTCCATGAGGACAGTCATTGGAATCTATTTTTTCACTGCTATAAACCCAAGACTAGAGCATGTCCTGGTATAGACCAGATAGTCAAAGCATTTTTCATGAATGATAATTCAGCACAGTGCTTATCTAATCACCTGCCACAGCATACAACCTCTCTCAACATTAGACTTTACAATCAATAACATTATTCTATCACTGCTCGAGACAATTAAGGCCACTTTTCCCTTTAGCAGTGCAGTCTAAACAACACTGTTTTCACATCAGGGATCCATTAATTCATGTACCTAAGTTCATCCCTTCATTTGATCTACAGTGGTGAAGAAATCAATGGCCACCAATGAACTTTACTCCATGGACTTACATTGGGAAATTAACATTGAAAATTTACCCTGTTTTTTATGCAGCCTGAGTTAATTATTTTGCTGCTGTTATCGTTGCCCTCATCGGTGGTCATGTTCTTATTGGACTGTGGCGTGAAAAGTACTGTCAATTAATGTAGTTGTGTATTTTTAGTATTATTCTAAACTGTTTTAAATCAAATATAAGGCTTGTTACAAAGGGACTTAGATGTTGTAAATAATTAACTTTTTTCAGGAGACGTATTGTGTACTTAATGAGGAGTCCCTAGTACTTTAGAATGGTTAAACCCTTTATTAAGCACACCATAGAAGATGAGGTCGAAAGGCTTGGCTCTGATTATCATATTAATCATCTCAGGAGAACTCAATGCAGAAGGTAAAGTTAACTTTAAATATTCTTTATTCTTTAATAATTATAAAGGGAAATTCTAACATTATTTCTCTTGAGCTTTTAATATAGTCTTTCATTTTTATGTACCAATTTTATAAAAAAGATACTTATAAATATAATTTGTTATAATATTTAGACAGACTTTTTCCTTTGAGAAAAACTACTAAACTATTCTTAGAGTAACATAGCTTAGAAAACCAAAACAAGACAAAAAAAAAAACCTTTTACATCTTTAGTTTTGAGGGTATAGGTAGACCAGGATCTAAAGACTTCAAAGTGTTTTCAGGCTAACAGGCTAACGGTACCACTATTTGAAGCTGTAAGTTAACCTTAATTCTAATTTCAGACCAGAATTCATTCCTAACACTGCACAGCTTGTACAATTTTAATTCTTTGCTCTTAAAGAGAGAACTTTCATGTGGGAAATTTTAAAAAGAACCATAAACCATCAGCAAGATCTTTGACTGTTGACACCTTGATTTTTATCCTAATTTTTATTCTTTGGTTGAAGACAGTAAGTAATGATTAGTAGGAGGACCATATGATTTTTTATGTAAATGAGGACATGCCTCAGGGTGAAAGCAGGTTTTATTAATACTCAAATGGGACAACAGGGGTAAATCAGTACTGTCCAGACAAGCAATACCTGTGGACTCCCTAACTGTTAGAAATCTTTCTACCCAGACTGCCTCATGTGTGAGGTGAATGTGAGTGTGCAAGTGTGGGTTATTTAGGAAGAGTTAACAATGTTCTTGGGCTGTAGGGATAAGAAGCCAGGCAAGTCATTAAGTATCAGCAAGAGTAGTAGACAAAGTAGGAAACCACAGCCATAAACCTCTTTTAAAACACCTTAAGAAATTTCTTGAAATAAAATATCTGACAGATTATATATAATTGCCTTAGTTGAATAGTTTACTACAAATTTTCTGCCCGAAGAGGCTCTGCAATTAAAATTATGAAAGTGAAATTAATAGAATTCATTTTACACATTTAATTCTACAATAAGATAATTTTTGCGTGAAGTTTCCTTTTATTTTTCTGTCTAAATAGGGAAAAAACAGCTGATATAATTGTCTATTATCTATACCATGAAAACACTGCAATATTCTAGCTAATTTTCTAATTACTGTGTAATTATAATCTTCTTTCACACAAACAAAGAAATGTCAGCTGCCTGAAGACAGGGACCATGACCTCATATTCCCATGCTTCCCCCACCCCCATCTGGAATCTTGGGGGCAAGATCAAGTTAACTATGCTCCTCATTTCATGTGACCATCACTGGCCTATGAGAAGTGTCACTTTTGTTTTATTTATACATTTTCCCTCTTCATTCCTGACCCTGAATTCCATTTCCCTTTCAACCAAACTGTTGAAAACCCAACTGTTGAAAACCCAACTGTTGGGACGCACTATAATGTTTGATATATCCTTAAATATGCAAATATCTTTGTAAACTATGTCTGGTTTTGTGTGTTTTACATTCATGTAAATGGAAGCTTGCCATAGATTTTATCTCCTTATTGTTTCATTTTACTTGCTACTGTTTAAACATATTTCCTTGTTGCTGAATCTAGTTTGTTGCCCTTTGGTTCTACCTAGCTTCATATATTTACTTATCCACTCTCCTAAGGATGGACACATAGTTTCCTCCTAACCTCAAGTAACTCTGAAATGAGTGCTTTCATGTAATCACCTTATTTCTCTGTGACGATTTCTCTTGCCTGTATATATCCCCCATGTGGGGCTATGGGCTCAGTTCCTGTTCTTTGTTTCCTGATTTATAACAGATTAGCATTTCCCTCTGCTTTCTGCCTTTTAAAGAGCTGATTTGTGGGAGCTCTTTGCAGACAATACATTTTAACTTCTTGTCACTTTTAGACATTGCAAATTCCTTCTTCCAAAATGTGATGTGTGCGTTTTGTCAACAATACTTTTCATGGAAAGACATTCTCAATTTTCATATAATCAGATTCATGAACTTTTGCCTATAGTTTCTGCTAGTTCTAAAGAGTCTTCTTTGTAAATCCCTGGTGGTATGGGTATGGAAAATTGTGAGAATCCTCAGGGGACGGGGCCTCCCCTGCGCATGTTTTTATCTGCTCCTTCCTTCCATCAGACTCTGGAAAGTTTCTTTTACTCATAATTCCTTGCCCACTTCCCTCAGCCCTGGGAGGGCACTGCTATTATTTTGTCTCAGGGTAGCAAGAGGGTTGACTGTCGTCCCCAAGGCATTGAAGGCAAAATAATCCCATCCGCCCGGGTCTTCTACACACCTGCCACTTCCTCCCAACACAAACCCTAGGGGCTGCTCAATAACTGCTTTCTTTTAAGTGTATTTATGATTTTAAAGTCTCCAACATAAGGACAGATTTTAAAAAATAAATGTTTTCTTTCGAGTATAATGTATGCAGAAAAATGCAAAAAATCATAGGATGCCCCTCTATAAATGTTTACTAAATTTTACTGCACCCGGATCAACATATAGAACATTGATTGGCACTCAGAAGCCTCCTAAATGTCCCTTTTTTTTGCGGTACGCGGGCCTCTCACTGTTGTGGCCTCTCCCATTGCGGAGCACAGGCTCTGGACGCGCAGGCTCAGTGGCCATGGCTCACGGGCCCAGCCACTCCGCGGCATGTGGGATCTTCCCGGACTGGGGCACGAACCCGTGTCCCCTGCCTCGGCAGTTGGACTCTCAACCACTGCGCCACCAGGGGAGCCCCCTAAATGTCCCTTTTTAAAGGACTAAACCTCAGGTAACCATCCTGACTTCTCTGACCATGGATTATCTGGCACGAGGGTGACGTGCCAGAGGTGGGTGGAAGAGGCTTCCAAAGGGATGCTCTCCAGAGCCATCCTGGAACAGGAGCCAGTGCTGCCAAGCTCCAACTCCCCAGAGACCAAGGAGGAGCCTTCCCCCACCCCCTGAGCTTGAACACATCCCCAGAAAAAGCACAGGAGCCCCAGTAGAGCTGTGGGACTGGCCTGGGCCACCAGCTTCCCTGTGGCACCCTCCTCTCTATCCTCCTCTCCCCTGTGGCACCCTCCTCTCTATCCTCCTCTCCCCCGTGGCACCCTCCTCTCTATCCTCCTCTCCCCCATGGCACCTTCCTCTCCATCCTCCTCTTCCCCATGGCACCTTCCTCTCCATCCTCCTCTCCCCCGTGGCACCCTCCTCTCTATCCTCCTCTCCCCCATGGCACCCTCCTCTCTATCCTCCTCTCCCCCGTGGCACCCTCCTCTCTATCCTCCTCTCCCCCATGGCACCTTCCTCTCCATCCTCCTCTCCCCCGTGGCACTCTCCTCTCTATCCTCCTCTCCCCCATGGCACCCTCCTCTCTATCCTCCTCTCCCCCGTGGCACCCTCCTCTCTATCCTCCTCTCCCCCATGGCACCTTCCTCTCCATCCTCCTCTCCCCCGTGGCACCCTCCTCTCTATCCTCCTCTCCCCCATGGCACCCTCCTCTCTATCCTCCTCTCCCCCGTGGCACCCTCCTCTCTATCCTCCTCTCCCCCATGGCACCTTCCTCTCCATCCTCCTCTTCCCCATGGCACCTTCCTCTCCATCCTCCTCTCCCCCGTGGCACCTTCCTCTCCGTCCTCCTCTTCCCCGTGGCACCTTCCCCTCCATCCTCCTCTTCCCCGTGGCACCCTCCTCTCCATCCTCCTCTCTCCCGTGGCACCCTCCTCCCATCCTCCTCTTTCCCGTGGCACCCTCCTCCCATCCTCACCACAGGGGAAGCAGGAGAGGACCATCTGCAGAGGATGAAAGCTCTGCCGATCATGCGGCAACAGCATTGCCGAAGATGAGAGCCAGGGTCTGGGCCTCCCAACATGCATCTCCTGAGGTGGCACCCTCCCCTGAATGGACTGACATGGTCCCAGACTGTAGAGTTCTTTGGGTTTGGCCTCAGTTCTGGTCCTTGCCTCAGGTCCAAGGAGGGCATGTGAAGCCCAGGCTGCTGCCAGCCCCACCCTCTCCAGAAGCCATCCAAAGGCAAATAACATTAGTTATTTGGTGGGAGGCCTGGTGAAGGGGCGTGAGAACTGCTGAAGCAGAGGATCAAGCAGAGGCTGGTGGATGGGGGTGAACCACCCCCAACCCAGCCATAGACCCTGGGACAGAACCACACATCAAAGCGACAAGCACCCAAAAGAAGAATCTGGGGGGACCCTCTTATATCCAGGGGGCCTCCTGCCTTCCCACCACAAAAAGAAAAAGTCCTTCAGACATCGGAACTGCTCCTGCGGCTGAGGGCCGTCATCTTTGGCTCTTTCCCTCTGACCTCTGCCACTTGCTCCCAAAGCCTGACTCTCCCCTTGTGGGAGTGAGGGCTGGAGACGAAAGAACAGAGAGGTCCTGTGGTGTAGACCGTTTCTCACTCTGCAAGCACCCATCCTTCCTGGCCCAGGCCTGCTTCTCCCATCACGGCCCCCTGGGCTGTCCAGACGGGAGGCCCTGGGATCAGGAGCAAGGGACCAGCCTCGGAGGCTGCCTCCAGGCCTCCCTCTCCGGGTCTCACAGCGGGGTGTGTGCACCTTGTCTGACGGCTCCCGGCGAGGCCGGCTCTGGGTGAAGCCCAGTCCTGGTGGGAGAGGTTCCTTTCCCTGCACGGATGCCCTCGGCTGCCTGGCTTGACCTCCTGCGCGATGAGCCAGGGACCCGGTCGCGCAGTCTGGCCTCCTCGCCTCGCACGCTGTGTCTTTGGAAGCTCCGGGCAGGCTCTTCTCCTTACGGTCACACTGCTCTCTGGACCCCAAGACTGTCCTCTGGCCTTTCTCGGGTTGGCAGGTGGCCTGAGAAACCGAGTTACCGTTCAAGCTCTGCAAACTGATGGAGATGCAGACGGCCCCCACCTGTGGCCACTGGCGGAGCCGAGGCAAGAACGGTGCAGTCCGCCCAGCACTGCCGGAGGACCCACCCGGCCTCGTGCGAAGAAGGGATGCTCAGGGCACCTGGGTGCTCACCAAGCAGGAGCGCAGCACGACCATCCAGGCACTGGCTCTCCTGAATGTCCATGAGTCAACCTTCCGCTCCCGTGCACCTGGCACTGCCCACGGGTCTCAGGTCCTCCACGCGCTCCGTCGTCCCCGCGGCATCTCACCCACGGCAGCTGGGTGGTGGCGCCTTTCAGAAAACGGGAAGGCAGGTGGGAGGAGGTGGTGCCTGTGATGACGGTGGCCTCTGCTTGGGATGGCGCCTCTGGCCTGCATGTCCGAGCTTGATGCCACCAGGATCTCTGAGCCCAGGGGTAGTGGCCTGGGTCAGTACCCGTGGGCGCCAAGCTGCCATTGGCTACAACCACCGCTTTGGGTAAAGGTCTGTGTTTCATCAGTGCCTGTTGGGATTGAGGGCAGAACGCCTGGGCCTGATTTTTCTCAGCCATCTCTGCTGAGTTCCTGGTTGACCCTCGCCCCTCACCCTGATGGTCGGAGGTCTGGTGGGACAGGAGGCGGATGCTGGGCTCATCCTCTGAGCTGCCACCACAGGATACTCTTGAGAAGATGAAGCGCCAACCACCCTAGGACCTCAAGTCTGGGTGTAGGGTCGCTTGATGTGTCTGCAACAGCACCTCCCACCATGCAGTCTGAGAACCTGAGAACAACCATCCATCCCTCACATTCTACCACCGGCACCAATCCCTGCCTTCAACCTTTTGTTGCAGTGGGGCCAGTTCTTCACTTCCCGTTTTACTACATTTCTCCTGGCTATCTCTGCCTGACAGCCGTGGCAGCTTCCAGAATGGACTGGTCCTCCTGAGGGGTAAGAACCCATCTGGCACCTGATGGAGGGGTTCCAGGCAAGTGTACCCACAGGCAGCCTGCATATCTGATGGGAGATGGGCATTGGACCTGGAGCAGGTCCATGACTGAGCTCTTCAGTGAGGTGACAAGGGCCCAGGGGGAGTGGCTGGGGGCTTGGTTGAATGAATGGGGGGGGGGGGGGGGGTTGAAGCCTAGGGGAGGAGGGGCTCCTTCTTCCAGGAGTGGCACAAGTGAGGAAGGTGGGAGGTGGTGATGTTGGCAGAAAGAAAAAGGAGGGGCCTCAGTAGGAAATTAGGTGGCATGGCGGAGACAATCATAGGTCTGTGAGATTCACCATGAGCATCAACACTCGTGTTGCTGTGTAATATCCCTTGTGTGGATAGTCTGGCGTGTGTTTGTCTGTTCTGCTGTCAGTGGGCACTTGGTTGCTTCCAGTTGGTACCACATGCAGAGACTTGCCAGGAACACTCTCTTACACATGTGGGTGCACAGAGATGTGCTTTCAACGTGGTTTGTACATATTCTGTCATACTGTTTTCTCAGGAGAGGTCGTACCTGTTTACACTCTTACTTGCAGTGGTCTTGAGCTCCCTTTTCTCTATGTCCGCCCCAACCACTGGGGTAGTCAGTCTCTTCCAGGTCAGTCATTCCTCCGGATGTATGGTTCTATCTCACAGTGATTTAAATTTGCCTTTCCCTGGTGACTGATAAAGCTGAGTCCTCTTTGCTAGACCTCTCACCGTTTAATGTAAGGTTCTCACTCAAGTCTTTTATTTTTTCAGTTGGTTGTCTGTCTTAAAAAACAAAACAAGACAAAAGCCATTCATATGAAAACTTGTAACTGCGTATCTTAAGGAGAACCTCATCTATTCTAGAACTTTCCCATCCAATAATACAGTGGCCAGTAATCGCATGTGGCTTTTGAAATGAGACTAGTCCATATTGGGGTGTGTCATGAGTGTAAATACACACTGGAGTTCAGACTTAGTAGGAAAAAAATAATATGCTTTTAGTATATTGGGTTAAATAAAATCTGTTATTAAAATTAACTTCAACTGTTCCTTTTATTAATGTGCCTGCTAGAAATTTAAATATACATATATGGCTTGTGTTTCTATTAGAACGTACTGTTTGACAAAGTTAGGAAAGGCTCTCTGAGGAACTGCCCTGCCCAGATTTATTCTGACTCTTGGGTGTTGTGGTTGCTAGCAGATTACTTCCTGATGGAAAAGGATTGGCAAAAAATACCCTAAAATGTTAAGTAATAAAAATAAGTACTGGGTACAGTGTCTGCAAACACTTTGAATTTAAAAACCTATTGTCACTTGATCACAAATTGTATGGTTTTAAATATATTTTTCAGTGTTCAGCTTGATATTTTCTCATTTCAGAGAAACCCTGTGGTTTTCCAAGTGTGGAAAATGGAAGGATTGCCCAATATTACTATACTTTTGAAAGTTATTACTTTCCAATGAGCATAAAGCAAAATCTGTCATTTTCCTGCTTGGCTGGTTATACAACTGAAACTGGGAAACAAGAGACCCAGACCACGTGTACGGCAGCAGGATGGTCCCCAGAACCACGGTGCTTCAGTAAGTCAGTGGCGGGGTCAACATCACATGATAACACGGAAATAAATGAGCTTGTAGAACTAGCATCCCCTAAAATATGGCAGGTGTCTACACCTTTTGGTATATAAGAACAAAATTGCTGGCCAACTGTCTTTTTTACAAAATGAAAGCATATACTGTAATTCTGTAAATCACGTCTTTCATTAAAATGTTATCTTCTTTATCTGTTTGTAATATTACCCTGTGAAGAGAATACTGATAGTTATTGAAATTGTTATTATCACATTGCAAGGAAGAGAGGCACCACTGCGTGAACACAACCTGAAGGGGCTAGTGCGCCACAGCTGGCTGGGAGGGATTCTGGGAAAAGGTCTGGAGCTGCTGAAGAGGCAAGAGACCTCCAAGAAGCCTGTGTGTGAGCACAGGTCACAATCCACACCTCCTCTCCCGGGAACCTGTGCAGCCCGCCACCGCCGGGTCCCAGGGTCCAGGGACAACTTCCCCGGGAGAACGCACGGCGCGCCTCAGGCTGCTGCAACGTCACGCTGACCTCTGCCACCGCAGGCTCGCCCCACACTCCGTGCCCCTCCCTCCCCCCGGCCTGAGTGAGCCAGAGCCCCCGAATCAGTGGCTCCTTTAACTCCATCCTGTCTGAGCGAACAAAAGACGCCCTCAGGCGACCTACACGCAGAGGCGGGGCCAAATCCAAAGCTGAACCCCAGGAGCTGTGCGAACAAATAAGAGAAAGGGAAATCTCTCCCAGCAGCCTCAGGAGCAGCGGATTAAATCTCCACAATCAACTTGATGTACCCTGCATCTGTGGAATACCTGAATATACAACGAATCATCCCAAATTGAGGAGGTGGACTTTGGGAGCAACGATATGTACATATATTTTTTCCCTTTTTTCTCTTTTTCTGACTGGGTATGTTATGCTTCTGTGTGAGATGTTCTCTGTATAGTTTTGCTTTTACCATTTGTCCTAGGGTTCTGTCTGTCCTTTTTTTGTTTGTTTGTTTGTTTTTTAGTATAGTTTTTAGCGCTTGTTACCATTGGTGGATTTGTTTTTTGCATTGGTTGCTCTCTTCTTTCTTTTTTTTATTACTTTTAAGTAACTTTTTAAAATAATTATTTTTTATTTTAATAACTATTTATTTTATTTTATTTTATCTTCTTTCTTTCTTTCTTTCTTTCCTTTCCTTTCCTCCCTTTTATTCTGAGCTGTGTGGATGACAGGCTCTTGGTGCTCCAGCCAGGCATCAGGGCTGTGCCTCTGAGGTGGAAGAGCCAAGTTCAGGACATTGGACCACCAGAGACCTCCTGGCCTCACATAATATCAGTTGGTGAGAGCTCTCCCAGAGATCTCCATCTCAATGCTAAGACCCAGCTCCACTCAATGACCAGCAACCTACAGTGCAGGATACCCTATGCCAAACAGCTAGCAAGACAGGAACACAACCCCACCCATTAGCAGAGAGGCTGCCTAAAAGCATAATAAGGTCACAGACACCCCAAACCACACCACCAGACGTGGACCTGCCCACCAGAAAGACAAGATCAAGCCTCACCCACTAGTACACAGGCACTAGTCCCCTCCACCAGGAAGACTACACAACACACTGAACCAACCTTACCCACTGGGGACAGACACGAAAAACAACAGGAACTATGAACCAGCAGCCTGCAAAAAGGAGACCCTGAACACAGTAAGTTAAGCAAAATGAGAGGACAGAGAAACACACAGCAGATGAAGGAGCAAGGTAAAAACCCAGCAGACCTAAAAAATTAAGAGGAAATAGGCTGTCTACCTGAAAGAGAATTCAGAATAATGATAGTAAAGATGAACAAATATATGGGTAATAAAATGGAGAAAATACAAGAAACGTTTAACAAGGACACAGAAGAACTAAAGAGCAAACAAACAATGAGGAATAACACAGTAAATGAAATTAAAAATTCTCTAGAAGGAATCAATAGCAGAATAACTGAGGCAGAGGAACGGATAAGTGGCCTGGAAGATAAAATAGGGGAACTAACTACTGCAGGGCAGAATAAAGAAAAAAAGAATGAAAAGAACTGAGGACAGTCTCAGACACCTCTGGGACAACATTAAAGGCACCAACATTCTAATTATAGGGATCCCAAAAGAAGAAGAGAAAAGGAAAGGGACTGAGAAAATATTTGAAGAGATTATAGTTGAAATCTTCCTTAATATGGGAAAGGAAATAGTTAATCAAGTCCAGGAAGCACAGAGTGTCCCATACAGGATATATCCAAGGAGAAACATGGCAAGACACATATTAATCAAACTGTCAAAAATTAAATACAAAGAAAAAATATTCAAAGCAGCAAGGGAAAAAAAACAAATAACATACAAGGGAATCTCCATAAGGTTAACAGCTGATCGTTCAGCAAAAACTCTGTAAGCCAGAAGGGAGTGGCAGGATATATTTAAAGCGATGAAAGGGAAAAACCTACAACCAAGATTACTCTACCCAGCAAGGTTCTCATTCAGAATTGACGGAGAAATTAAAACATTTACAGACAAGCAAAAGCTAAGAGAATTCAGCACAACAAAAACAGCTTTACAACAAATGCTAAAGGAACTTCTCTAGGCAGGAAACACAAGAGAAGGAAAAGACCTACAATAACAAACCCCAAACAGTTAAGAAAATGGTAATAGGAATATACATATCGATAATTACCTTAAATGTAAATGGATTAAATGCTCCAAACAAAACATAGAGACTGGATGAATGGATACAAAAACAAGACCCATATATATGCTGTCTACAAGATGCCCACTTCTGACCTAGGGACACATACAGACTGAAAGTGAGGGGATGGAAGAAGATATTCCATGCAAATGGAAATCAAAAGAAAGCTGAAGTAGCAATTCTCATATCACAAAATATAGACTTTAAAACAAAGACTATTACAAGAGAAAAGGAAGGACACTACATAATGATCAAGGGATCAATCAAAGAAGAGGATATAACAATTGTAAATATTTATGCACCCAACATAGGAGCACCTCAATACATAAGGCAAATACTAACAGCCATAAAAAGGGAAATTGACAGTAACACAATCATAGTAGGGGACTTTAACACCCCACTTTCACCAATGGACAGATCATCCAAAATTAAAATAAATAAGGAAACACAAGCTTTAAATGATACATTAAATAAGATGGACTTAATTGACATTTATAGGACATTCCATCCAAAGACAACAGAATATACTTTCTTCTCAAGTCCTCATGGAACGTTCTCCAGGATAAATCGTATCTTGGGTCACAAATCAAGCCTTGGTAAATTTAAGAAAATTGAAGTCGTATCAAGTATCTTTTCCGACCACAATGTTATGAGATTAGATATCAATTACAGGAAAAAATCTGTAAAAAATACAAACATATGGAGGCTAAACAATACACTATTTAATAACCAAGAGATCACTGAAAATATCAAAGCGGAAATCAAGAATACCTAGAAAAAAATGACAATGAAAACACAATGGCCCAAAACCTGTGGGATGCAGCAAAAGCAGTTCTAAGAGGGAAGTTTATAGCAATACAATCCTGCCTTAAGAAACAAGAAACATCTGAAATGTAAAACCTAACCTGACACCTAAAACAATTAGAGAAAGAAGAACAAAAAAAACCCAAAGTTAGCAGAAGGAAAGAAATCATAAAGATCAAATCAGAAATAAATGAAAAAGAAATGAAGGAAACAATAGCAAAGATCAATAAATTTAAAAGCTGGTTCTTTAAGAAGATAAATGAATTGATAAACCATTAGGCAGACTCATCAAGAGAAAAAGGGAGAACACTCAAATCAATAGAATTAGAAATGAAAAAGGAGAAGTAACAACTGACACTGCAGAAATACAAAGGATCTTGAGAGAGTACTACAAGCAACTATATGCCAATAAAATGGACAACCTGGAATAAACAGACAAATTCTTAGCAATGCACAACCCTCCGAGACAACCAGGAAGAAATAGAAACTATAAACAGACCAATCACAAGCAATGAATTTGAAACTATGATTAAAAATCTTCCAACAAAAAATAGCCCAGGACCAGATGGCTTCACAGGAGAATTCTATCAAACATTTAGAGAAGAGCTAATACCTACCCTTCTCAAACTCTTCCAAAATATAGCAGAGGGTGGAAAACTCCCAAGCTCATTCCACGCGGCCACCATCACCCTGATACCAAAACCAGACAAAGATGTCACAAAGAAAACTACAGGCCAATATCACTGATGAACATAGATGCAAAAATCCTCAATAAAATACCAACAAACAGAATCCAGCAGCACATTAAAAGGGTCATACACCATGATCAAGGGGGGTTTATCCCAGGAATGCAAGGATTCTTCAATATACGCAAGCCAATCAATGTGATACACCATATTAACAAATTGAATGAGAAAAACCATATGATCATCTCCATAGACGCAGAGAAAGCTTTTGACAAAATTCAACACCCATTTATGATAAAAAAAAAAACCTGCAGAAAGTAGGAATAGAGGGAACTTACCTCAACATAATAAAGGCCATATATGACAAACCCACAGCCAACATCGTCCTTAATGGTGAAAAACTGAAACCATTTCCACTAAGATCAGGAATAAGACAAGGTTGCCCACCCTCACCACTATTATTCAACATACTTTTGTAGGTTTTAGCCACAGCAATCAGAGAAGAAAACGAAATAAAAGGAATCCAAATCAGAAAAGAAGAAGTAAAGCTGTCACTGTTTGCAGATGACATGATACTATACATAGAGAATCCTAAAGATGCTACCAGAAAACTACTAGAGCTAATCAATCAATTTGGTAAAGTAGCAGGATAGAAAATGAATGCACAGAACTCTCTTGCATTCCTATGCACTAAAGATGAAAAACCTGAAAGTGATATTAAGAAAACACTCCCATTACCATTGCAACAAAAAGAATAAAATATCTAGGAATAAACCTACCTAAGGAGACAAGACCTGTATGCAGAAAATTATACGACACTGATGAAAGAAATTAATGATGATACAAATAGATGGAGAGATATACCATGTTCTTGAATTGGAAGAATCAACATTGTGAAAATGACTCTACTACCCAAAGCAATCTACAGATTCAATGCAATCCCTATCAAACTACCACTGGCATTTTTCACAGAACTAGAACAAAATAATTCCACAATTTGTATGGAAACACAAAAGACCCCAAATAGCCAAAGCAGTCTTGAGAAAGAAAAACAGAGCTGGAGCAGTCAGGCTCCCTGACTTCAGACTATACTACAAAGCTACTGTAATCAAGACAGGATGGTACTGGCACAAAAACAGAAATATAGATCAATGGAACAGGATGGAAAGCCCAGAGGTAAACCCATGCACATATGGTCACCTTATCTTTGATAAAGGAGGCAAGAATATACAGTGGAGAAAAGACAGCCTCTTCAGTAAGTGGTGCTGGGAAAACTGGACAGCTACATGTAAAAGAATGAAATTACTACAGTCCCTAACACCATACACAAAAATAAACTCAAAATGGATTAAAGACCTAAATGTAAGGCCAGACACTATTAAACTCTTAGAGGAAAATATAGGCAGAACACTCTATGACATAAATCACAGGAAGATTCTTTTTGACCCACCTCCTAGAGAAATGGAAATAAAAACAAAAACAAATGGGACCTAATGAAACTTCAAAGCTTTTGCACAGCAAAGGAAACCATAAAAAAGACAAAAAGACAACCCTCCAAATGGGAGAAAAGATTTGCAAATGAAGCAACCGACAAAGGATTAATCTCCAAAATTTACAAGCAGCTCATGCAGCTCAATATCAAAAGAACAAACAGCCCAATCCAAAAATGGGCAGAAGAACTAAATAGACATTTCTCCAAAGAAGATATACAGATTGCCAACAAACACATGAAAGAATGCTCAGCATTGTTAATCATTAGAGAAATGCAAATCAAAACTGTAATGAGATATCATCTCACACCACTCAGAATGGCCATCATCAAAAAATCTACAAACAATAAATGCTGGAGAGGGTGTGGAGAAAAGGGAACCCTCTTGCACTGTTGGTGGGAATGTAAATTGATACAGCCACTATGGAGAACAGTATGGAGGTTCCTTAAAAAACTAAAAATAGAACTACCATAAGACACAGCAATCCCACTACTGGGCATATACCCTGAAAAAACCACAATTCAAAAAGAGTCATGTACCACAATATTCATTGCAGCTCTATTTACAATAGCCAGGACATGGAAGCAACCTAAATGTCCATCAACAGACGAATGGATAAGAAGATATGGCACATGTAAAATGGAATATTACTCAGCCATAAAAGGAAATGAAACTGAGTTATTTGTAGTGAGGTGGATGGACCTAGAGTCTGTCATACAGAGTGAAGTAAGTCTGAAAGAGAAAAACAAATACCATATGCTAACACATATATATGGAATCTAAAAAAAAAAGAAAAACGGTCATGAAGAACATAGGGGCAAGACGGGAATAAAGACGCTGACCTACTGGAGAATGGACTTGAGGATACAGGGAGGGGGAAGCATAAGCTGGGACAAAGTGAGAGAGTGGCATGGACACATATACACTACCAAATGTAAAAGAGATAGCTAGTGGGAAGTAGCCGCATAGCACAGGGAGATCAACTCGTGCTTTGTGACCACCTAGAGGGGTGGGATAGGGAGGGTGGGAGGTAGGGAGATACAAGAGGGAAGAGATATGGGGATATATGTATATGTATAACTGATTCACTTTGTTATAATGCAGAAAGTAATACACCATTGTAAAGCAATTATACTCCAATAAAGATGTTAAAAAAAAAAAAAGAATGAGGGGCTTTTACAGAGAGTTCTGCAGGAGACCGAAAAATGCTTGACATTGGCCTTAGGAAGCATATATAGGGTTGTTACTCTAGTATTTTATCATTTGAAAGACTCTCCTTTGTATGACAACTTTCTCTCACATAATATCCATTGAAAAATGTGTTTTTTTGAGTTCAAATGTGTGAAAAGGAAATCTGATCGGCTCATCTCAATATTTCATGTGAGGCTACACTAGAGTCAAACTATCAGCTGGCTTCCATGGAGTCAGGTTACCTCTCTTGATTGACACATTCCCCAAGCTCTGTTTTGCAGAGTAAGGCACTTTGGTTGAGTCAGTTTCATTCAGAAGAAGTGGGTATGTTGCTTATGGTGGTCGATATGTCCAGTGAATATATCTATTTGGGATAATTATCCACTTCATGACTTGAGGACGGAGCATCAGTTTAAGCATTGCACTTTTAGTATTAACATGGACCACAGATTAACTGTAATAAATACATCTCACTCATAACTAGAGCATAAAAGTAAATTAAACATCTTAGATGAGGTGATGTGAGAGCAGTGAAGTAGGACCCAGAAAAGGATGTTGCAGGGTTAGCATTGCAGTGTCAGGATTGAGACACCCTCTGTGGCCAGACTGCCGCCTGTGAATACTGCTCCAACACTGAAAAGTGGCTTAAACATTCCGAGCTGGACTTTCTCACCTATAAAATGCGAATCATACAGCTTCGATGAGATCATCTTTATAAAGGGCTCGCCACACAGCAAGTACAACATATATTTAAACTAATATTAACCTTGGACAAGTCTCTTCACCTTTCTGAATTGGTTTGTTATGAGGGTCCGTTAATGAGGCTTAAAAAATGATTAAACTCCATACAATGCTAAGGTAAATGTACTGTCCAACACATCACAGTCCCAAGTATTTAGTAAAAATTAGCTCTATGAACTCCAAGGTTTTGAGTAGCACGTCTGTGACTCAGTCACAGTTTACATGGACTGACTGGAGTCTTACTGTGCAGGTAGGTGATCAGAGGCTTAAAAAATAAATGAACACAGTTTTCACATTAAATTGTCTGCATGATTCTTTAAGGATCCATAGAGTAGGTATATGTGCTTTAGTTACATCATGTTAAAAATTATCAAATGCAGTGGCCTCAAAAGTATTAGGAAGTAAACCCAAAAGAAATTCTTTCTATTTTCCATTAATGACAATTAGTTAGAGGAAGATGTCTGGATATATTTTCTAACGTAGATGAGGTAGGGGTGGGATGACTGTGAGAACCGAAGTTAGTACATCCAAGAATTTTATTGTCAAATTGAATCAACTTTTAAAGAAATTTGATGCAGAGCAAGCAGTATAGTTCCAAAATTAAATTAAATCAAGGAATTGTGGAGTGAACATTTTTCTTTCTCCTTAAAATTCCAAGAATAATATTAAACTTTTGCATTGTTAGTTTTACAACTTAGTAAAGAACAAGCTTAATTTCATCAATTTAGAACAAATATTTTTTCCCCACAGAAAAATGCCCTAAGCCTGACCTGAGGAATGGTTACGTCTTTGACACAAAATTATTTTACAAAATTCAAGAGAACATGCGTTATCGTTGTGCATCAGGGTACAAAACCACAACAGGGCAGGATGAAGGAGTGGTTCAATGCCTCCCTGTTGGATGGTCTTCTCAGCCAACCTGTAGGAAGGAACATGGTATGTGTTTAAGAATTATCTCCTAAATCTGAAGGTAAGAGCTTGTGAGTTCAATGCTTTCTTATATGGGTAGGCATTCTTGTTTAAATATAATTGTTATTTTATTATGTCTCTCGATGCAGGAAGTTATTATATTGTTTCCCTCTAATGCTGGGTGTTTCCGTAATCCAAGGATTCCCAACCTCTACCACACACCTACTCCAGCAGTGCCTATTTTTTACTAGTAAACAAAGAATTGGAGTGGAATAAAAGGAAAGACCCTTAATGAAACTTTCTGTCACAACATACATAAATTAGTATTTCCTTCATTAGAGAAGAGTTTGAAATAATGCACATTATTTTATACCTCAAACCAATATCAGATAAACTTAAAAATAACCCAATCAGGGACTTCCCTGGTGGCGCAGTGGTTGCGAATCCACCTGCCAATGCAGGGGACATGGGTTCGAGCCCTGGCCCGGGAAGATTCCACATGCTGCGGAGCAACTAAGCCTGTGCGCCACAGCTACTGAGCCTGCGCTCTAGAACCTGCGAGCCACAACTACTGAGCCCGCATGCCACAGCTACTGAAGCCCACGCTCCTAGAGCCTATGCTCTGCAGCAAGACAAGTCACCACAATGAGAAGCCTGTGCATAGCAACAAAGAGTAGCCCCAACTCACCACAACTAGAGAAAGCCCACGTGCAGCAGCAAAGACACAACGCAGACAAAAAATAAATAAATTTAAAAAATAAACAACTTATTTAAATATATATATATATATATATATATATATATATATATATATATATATATATATATATAGTTAGTGTGGTGTTATCTATTTAAATTATACAAATCCACAGATGGGACATCATCAAAAAATCACTACTGCACAAGTTTTCTATTGAATTGTGACCTTTGGCCAAATACACTAGAGTAGAATTTTAAAGACTGAAGACAGGTAGAGTTAGGATTCAGGGTGCATGAAGAAAGGGAATCCAGAGACAAAGGCAAACTGATTATTTTTCAATTTTGCTAAGAGCTGATTCTGTCATATATTGTTAAAATTCATAGAAAATACTTTTTGAGATTTCCTTTTAATATTCTAGGTTTAGGGATGGAGTTCATAAAACAAATGACTTTAATTTCTCTTTTTTTTTTAGAAACATGTTTGGCCCCTGAATTACATCACGGAAATTATTCCACAACACAGAAGATGTTCAAAGTGAAGGACAAAGTACGATATGAGTGTGCCTCTGGGTACCACACAGCTTCTGGGAAGAGGACAGAGGAGGTGGAGTGTCACCCGTACGGATGGGCCCTCACCCCACGATGTGCCAGTAGGTTCTCACTTTGAAGACGACTACTTTCACTTTGAAAACTCCCTCTCAGAAATGGGTACAAGTTGTTATGTGAATTATGTTCCTTTTTTCATATTTTTTTTCCTCTGGTTTTAATGATGTTGACAGTAGGCTTTCATCATTTCAAGCTCTCAAAGAGGGAAAAATCCTTTTAGCTCAGATACTTAAATTAAAATAAGTTTAATGATATTCAATAAATATATAAATTGGCAAGCTTTTACTAGGAATAACAAAATTTCGCAAAGTTGCTGATTTCTAATTCAGATATGGCAGGTAAGTAGTGGGTGAATTTTGTTCTAGCAGGAAAAATAACACTTCTTTGTTTTTTATTTGTTCTTTCATTTTTAGAATTAATATGTTCTTCTTTAAGATCAATAGAAAATGGTTATTTTCATCCTGTGAAGCAAACCTATGAAGAAGGAGACGTAGTTCAGTTTTTCTGTCATAAAAATTATTATCTAAGTGGATCTGATTTAATTCAGTGCTATAACTTTGGTTGGTACCCAGAATCTCCTGTCTGTGAAGGTAATTTTTAAAATTTCATACTCACACAAATAAAATATCATGTCTGAATCAGCTTTAATTTCTTTAATTTCTATGGAAAAAAGTCTCTGATGATATCTAATTCTTCTCCAGAGTGCTATTTTTTTAAATAAATATTGTCTTTTAAATCAGTGCTATTTTCAACAGTCTTTAATACATTTAATCTGAAGAAATCTTAATTTTTACATTAGTTTGTAGAGTGGATATATCTTTTAAATATATATTTTAAAATCTATTATAAATTGTAAATCTCTTATTATAATGAATAATTGTTGTTGTTGGGAATTAACTAGATCCAGTTGTCCCAAGGTGGCAGCTTTGTGGAGGTACTTTCTTATTACTTAGCCACATATTCCCTGATGTGAAAATAGTCTTCAGAACAGTGGGGTAAAGAGCAGGAAAAGCAGCAGAATGTTACCCAGATTGAAAATGAAAACTCAGGTCATCCAGTAAGAGCCACTGTCAAATGGGACGTCTGTGGTTCCATTTATATCACTGGCTGTGTTCAAACAGGTGGTATGATTACCTGTTAAGAGACATCAATTCAATAGTCATATAATCACACCTGCAATGTTATATGAAGGAGGTCCTGGTCTAGCAGAGGAAACAGATACAAATCATTGGTACAATGTGACAACTGGTGTAATAAAGTCAGGTATAAGGTGTTTGAACAAACACTGAAGGTTCTGATTGATATGGTGTGGGACAGTGTTTACAGAGGTGATGGATAATGTCTGAACTGGGCCTTAAAAGATAAATAGGACTTGGAGGATTGGGAAGGATGGGGAGAGGTAAAGGGCTTGATAGCCTCTATTGTCTCTGTAATGTAGGAAATAGTGTCATTATTAACAGGCAGGAGAAAGACAGGAAAGGAAAACTTGGAAGAGAGTAGTGAAGATTTGAAACAGTTGCTGGGAGGAAAGAAAGAGGGGTCACCAGGGTTATGCAGTGGGGTTTCCCAGAACTGCCATCATTCTCTAAATGCTCATTCTCTAAACAATGACTTTAATTTTTTTTGTTAGAAATATTCTTTTTAAAACTTTCCAGTGGTGCCCAAGAGCCTTGCTCTAACAGCAGAGAGGAAGATTGTTAGCAAATTACCTGTAGCATATTATTTCAAAATGAAATGGCAGACCCCTACCTACTTATCACCTGTTCACCCCACTCCCACCAAATTAAGTCAGGGGCCAACACTCCTGCTATCGTTTTCTAGCAAACAATCCTTAGATGTAGGATGGGCAGTGTAGTCATCTGAGTAATGCCTCCCTCCCTCCCAAAAGAAAATATTCATATTCAAGTCCCTGGAACCGGTGAATGTTACCTTATAGGGCAAAAGGGACTTTGCAGATGTGATGAAATTAAGGATCTGGAGAGAGGAATAATATCTGGGATTATCCATGTGGGCTCCAAATGTAATCATAAGCATCATAATTATATAAGAGGGAGGCAGAGGGAGATTTGACTACAGAAGATCAAGCATGAGATGTGACGGTGGAAGCAAAGGTTGGAGTGAAAAAGGAAGGGGTCATAAGCCAAGGAGTGCACGCAGCCCCCAGAAGCTTGCAGATGCAAAGAAGCTGCTTGTCTCCTAAAGGCTCCAGAAGGAACACAGCTCTCCTGATACCTTGATTTCAGCCCAGTGAAACCGATTCTGGACTTTGGCTTCCAGAAATGTAAGAGAATAAAGGTGTGCTATTTTTTAAGCCTCTCCATTGTGGTAATTGGTCACGGCAGCCATGGGAAATTAATATAGTCAGTATTTTAGAATAGTTAAGAGCAGGAGATTTAAATTCAGATAGACATGGGTTTAGGAACAGATCCACCACTTACTAATAATTTACTTACTTCATAAGTTTTAGTTTCTTTGTCTGTAATATGGGAGATGTAATAGTCCCCACTTAACAAAGTTATTTTAAGATTAAAGGAGATAATGAATGTAACGTGCTGGCTCTTTTAGTTTTCTATTGGCACGAACCTAACAGCTTGAAACCACACACCTGTGTCTCACAGTTTCTGTGGGTCAGGATTATGGGTGGAGCTGACCTGGCTCTGTGTCCGTGTCTAACAAAGCTGCAGTCAAGGTGTCAGGTGGGACTGCAGTGTCATCTGGGGCTGGGCTCGGGAAGAACCTGCTTTCAAGTTCACTGTGGTTTGTGGCAGCATTTGGAGCTTGGCAGGCTGCTGAGCAGAGGGCTTCAGTCTCCTCCTGGATGCCCCTGCAGGCAGCCCTGTGCCCCCTGCCCTCTGACCCACCCCATTCGGAAACTCGCGATGAAGCAGCTTGCTTCTCTTCCAAATCAGCTGCGAAAGAGCTCGGCAAGAACGGCCTTACCATACTGTGCTGCAAGAGTATGTGTGCATGACCACACGCATCCATCCTTGTGGCTGTGTTTAAACGGGTCACATGCATCCCATCATCTTGGCTGTGTTCATTGCTTAGAAGCAAGTCCCAGTTCCTGTTCTTGGGGAGGGGCATGACTCAAGGAAGTCAGCCTCAGGATGTGGGGATCCAGGGGGTGGCCCCAGTCTGTCTGCCATACTTCTTAGGGTCCTTGGCACAATGAATGTGCTTATGAAATCTTAACTATTATTTTTTGGTAATTACATGACTAAATATACTGATGTTTCTCCATAAAAGGAAGAAGAAATCGATGTCCTCCTCCCCCTGTGCCTCTGACCTCCAGAATTCAAAGGTACTCAACCACTTATCGTCATGGAGAAACAGTGCGTATAGAGTGTGGACTTAACTTTGAGAGGCAGGGATCAGAAGAGATACGCTGTGAAAATGGAAAATGGACAGAACCTCCCAAATGCATTGGTTAGCAGCACCTCAAATGAGCTTTCCCTAAAATGAAACCTGCATGCATGTGGAGCTAAATGGTCTCTTCTGTTTCAATTTTCCCTTTTCAGAAGAAAAGCAGAGGATGGGCTGTGAGGACCCGCCCTTGGTTGAGAATGCTGCAGCAAACCTATCCTCCAAGGTCTATTATAATGGGGATAAAGTGACATACGTGTGTGAAAGAGGGTATCACCTCCGGGGACCAGAAGAAATAACATGTAAACGTGGAAAATGGACCCTTCCCCCTGAGTGTGTTGGTATGTGTGCTGCGTTTCACATCCAGAGCTAAGCCTAGTGTGTAACATTTTCCTTTGTTTAATTCACACACTTACAGCAACGGTCCATTGCTTAGAAGAGTTTGAAACACACAGATAGAGCACTTACTCTGCTATTTTTTCTGAGCATATGGAGCTCTCTGTAGAATTTAACTGGATATAAAGAATTGGGAAACAAGTTTTTAACATCTTGATGATAGTACTTTTGCATCTGGCCATTCTGAGCCCTCCACCCTCTGAGCCATATACCTGCTCTTTCATCTCACTGAAGGGCACAACCAGGGTACCACTCTTCAGTGCTACCCATTCTGCCATCCTTCTCATTTCTTTTTTTCTTTTTTTTTTTTTTTGCGGTACGCGGGCCTCTCACTGTTGTGGCCTCTCCCGTTGCGAAGCGCAGGCTCAGCGGCCATGGCTCACGGGCCCAGCCGCTCCGCGGCATGTGGGATCTTCCCGGAATGGGGCACGAACCCACGTCCCCTGCATCGGCAGGGGGACTCTCAACCACTGCGCCACCAGGGAAGCCCTCTCCTCATTTCTTGATCAGGTCCTGGAGAGACCTCCACAGACATGTTTACCGAGGATATCTGTTGTGTAAGAGAAAAGCTATTAAAGATGCTAGAGAAATTAGCCGAGTAGGAGAAAGACTCTGAAGACAGAGAGAAAAATGGAAATTTTCATCCTTGGGTTGATTGATATCTGAGATGAAGAGAGATGAGAAGGAAAAAATAAAAATGGATAATAACAAAGGTCAGTTTTTAAATGGACCATAATCGTTAGGTTAAAGAACACTGTTTACCTTTCTGTACATTTTAAGAATATCTATAGCATGAGTCCTTCAGAAGCAAGAAAAGTGAAAAATCCGCTGCATACTTGTCCTTCAGCAAAACATTTGCTCTTTAGTTTGGCTTAGTAAATTTTAACAATACTTAGCTGAATAAAGTTTCTCTGATTCTGATACACTGAGAGATCAATTGTCCTAAATTACATAGTGAAATATTAAAGTACTATTGTATGCACAACTGTATTATATCATTATGTTGTTATGTTTGTATTAATTTAAAAATAACTTCTTAGGAAATACTGGGAATTGTAATTCTCCACCTGATGTAATAAATGGAGCTGTTATTGGCGGATTATTAGCAAGCTACCCAACAGGATCCTCAGTGGAATATAGATGCAATGAATATTACTTATTGAGAGGAGCAAAAATATCTCATTGTGAACAAGGAAAATGGTCATCCCCACCTGTTTGCTTAGGTAAGATAGAGAACACATTGAATTAAAAAAAATTTTCCCAGCCTTATTGAGATACAATTGACATATAACCTTGTGTATGTTTAAGGTGTATAATGTGATGATTTGATACACAAATACATTGTGAAATTATTACCACAATAAGGTTAGTTTATTTATCCTTCACCTCATGTAATTTTGGGGGTTGTTATGATGAGAGCATTCAAGATCCACTCGTAGCAACTTTTAAGTGCACAACATTGGGGTGTTTTTTTTTTAATTTTTTAATTTTATCTTATTTATTTTTTTATATATTGTTTTGTACATTAGGTCCCTGGAACTTATTCTGCTTATAGCAGGACACATTGAATTTGTTTTACCCTTATGTTTGTATTCTTACGTGATTTTCATATAATGTTTTATAGCATGGAAAAGAGAATTTTGTATATATCTTTCATTCTTCAAGTGTTTTACCTTATCGTTTCTGTCAGCAGAAAAACATCCCTAGTATCTTAGGGTTTAGGCTATACTCGTTCTTACCCCACTGCATTTTTTTTTTTAATGTGGTAACATAAGAACAACAAAACTTTACCATTTTAACCATGTTTAAGTGTCCACTTCAGTGGCATTAAACATAATCACATTTGTGTGTCTGATTACATTTGTGTTGTTTTTCTCCTAACTGGAATTTCCCCTGGTTGTTTATATTCCTCGTTGTCTCTCTTATTGTCCTCAGAATGTCATTTGGACAGAAGAATAATCAATCCAATTCTTTCCTTGGTAGAGCATGTCGTTTATAGCTTTCTTTGCCACTGCTTCCTCACTTTTGTTTTATCTTGTTGAGCAGATAAAAACGTTTGTAGTTACTCTATATTTTGGATTAAGGCATGGATTAATTAATGTTAATGTTTTCAAGTAGAAAACTGAGGCAGCTATCTAAATAATTACCTAAATTGAAATTACTTTGGGAAAACAATATTCACCTCTCATTTCAAGCCTATAGATTTGCCTCATTTTTTAACTTTGCTAGTCAGAGTTACATTTAAAAGTAACGTACCTGGGCTTCCCTGGTGGCGCAGTTGGTTGAGAGTCTGCCTGCCGATGCAGGGGACACAGGTTCGTGCCCCAGTCCGGGAAGATCCCACATGCCGCGGAGCAGCTGGGCCCGTGAGCCATGGCCGCTGAGCCTGTGCGTCCGGAGCCTGTGCTCCACAACGGGAGAGGCCACAACAGT